AATATCCTGAATTTAACCATCTGAACTCCCAATAAGGTAACATTTAGGACTGGGAATATGATTTCTCATTAAGTGATGCTTTTAGACAGAGGGAGGCAGTGATACAACTCTATAAATATTTTTTAAAATCTGTAATGTAGAAAAGGAATTTTTCGCGTGAATACAGAAAGCTCAAAGATCACCAGGAACAGGTTTCTGTCCAACGTAGAGGATACTTTTCCAGTAAACAGAGATAGATGAAAATGAAGTGAGCTCTTGTGAGGCAGTAAGCTTTCTGGTATTTGTCAAGGTTGGATGTTGGGGGTCTTAATATAGGCTTGTACATGAGACTTAACAGTTTCAAAGCTCTCTTCCAAAAACCTGAGATTACAGCATCCAATACCTTAGTTTAAGGAGGTAGGGGAATAGGAATCTTTCTAAAATCACTCTCTTTAGAAGTGGGGTCACCACAAAGATGGTTAACTGCCTTTCTGATCTCTTCCAGGCAGAGGTGGAGGAAACCCTAAAGAGGATCCAGAGCCATAAAGGGGTTATAGGAACGATGGTTGTAAACGCAGAAGGTAAATACATCACAGGCTGCCTTCTTGACACGCAGAAGCCAACCAAGAGCCTCTTTGTGGTGCCAAGCCTTGACATAGACATTTTAGCATTTTAAACCAAAAGTAGATCTTGTATATTTTAGCTATGGTGTTTACTTACCAAACATTATCTATCACATTCAAGCTGTCAGCTGAGAGGCAGGGAAATAAATATGAGTAAGACATGTACAAAAATGTCTATACCTTCCTAAGAAATGCTACACATTGTCTAATTTTTAAAGCTCTGGTAATCTAACATTTCAGGAGTAGCAATAAAACTACCTTGAAGATAGGAAGAATACCATTGTTGGCAGTTTACTTTCAATTTAACATTATAAAGCGTAGTTTCCATCTTCATTTTAAGTGAAATTGTTCCTTTCCCAGAGTTAATAAAATCTTTGAGAAGTAAATGTTAATGTAATTGATAGTGTAGTCTTTGTGGTTAGAGTTTAAGAAGGGCCAATACATTTCCACCTGTGAAATCCATAGACTGGTACCAGAAACTTGCTCTGGATCCACAAAATCTATGAACAGTCCACAGAGCTTTATGCTCTGGCACACTGCCCCATGTTCAGCTACGGTGGTAACCTCATAAAGGCTTCTGCTGGTTTCGTTGCTAATTCAGGCATTTGGAAGGGCAAGAGGTGCCACAAATCCCAGAGCATTAGTAGAAATAAGAGCAGCTACTTCATATAATTCATGGTACAACCATGGAATTGGCACATTGCCAACTCAGTGCTTGGCAACAGACTCTCACAGCTAATCAGGATTATGGAGCGAATCCATCAATAAATATTTATTGAGCAGCTACCAAC